TTGGCGGTATTGTTCCAAGGCCTGATTTCATCGGCAATACGAATTTGCACCTACACTGGATAAACCGGAGTGCCATCTTTAGTTCGATATTTTACTCGTCTGTTCTCTCTCTTTCCTTAAAAAAGGCTCTTGGCATTGACAAATATAGTGATGAGATTTGTGAATAAATTTTGTCTATTAATAAAGAGATTTATAACAAATATTCTTTCGTAAATCAACTTCTATATAGGATGACTTTTCAATTTATTGAAAAATGCTTAGGGAACCTTTCATTTACCAATAAGATTATAGTATGGTTTTCTTGTTAAAAAATGTAAAAATCAAATCTCTAAACACTGAGAACAGCGAAATAGGACAATCTAATAAACAATAATAATAGAGAGTATATGCGGGATGCATACGTATTGAAAATTGGGGATCTTGGATGCTCTCCGTACTTTTGTCTAAAATATATATTTATTTATTTTGAGAAATTATAGTTGAAATATGGAATATGAAAATTGAATATTATTCAAAATGGAAAAAAAGGTGAATTAGATTTATTTAAGAAAGAGAGAAAATAGTTCAAATAAGTTTATTAATATAAAATTATATAAAATAATATAATATTATAATATATATATATATAACACTATGAATTATAGTAATTATATATAGTAAATAAAGTATTTAAGAATATAGCACACATATTTATATATAATTTATATGCTGAGAGAAACCCCACAGAAGACCTAAGGCTGAGCTTTAATTCAACCAAAAGAAAAATCCAACCAACTAAATTATTTGGTGAAAGGGATACGCGCGTCCTCATGTATGACTAATTAGAAGTGAGGCTGACAGATAGAGAGAACTGATGGAGATATCTAAGACTATAGATGATGCTGAGAGCCTATATGTACATTCTGGATGAGAAATATACGTATCCAAAAGCTAGAGCAGTTCGTCAGTCCACGGAACAAGGGAGCAGTTTGAATTATATGTTTAATGAATTAGATTAGAGACCGTCTATTTAATAACCTAGGGCCTACTCAGCAGTTCAAGGAGGAAACTAGTTTAAATTTAAGGCAGGTATATAAGAAACTAGATTAGAAGACCTTAGTTCAGGGAACTAGAGTGGAGTTTGGAAAGTGTGAATCGCAGAAACTAGAGCAGAAATCATTAGATCAGTGAACTAGGGAAAATATTCAAAAGGAACGTAAAAATAAAGAATCTATAGTAGAGAGAGTCAGTTCAGGAGACTAGGTTGAAGGTTGGCGTCTAGATCTTCAAGAAGGTAGGGCGGAGTCTAAATGTTCTTTGCCCCAGAAACTCGAGCCGAGGCTGAAGGTCCAGGAAACTATAGTAGCTGCTGGAGGCCGCGGCTCCGTCCAAGAAACCAGAGAGCCGAGTTGGCAGAGGCGGGCCTGGTGCCAGCTCTTCGAGATCGGACGTCAAGATAACACCCCAGCTGACAGACCTTACTTCCATCGCCTTGTTATATCCCAAGTGGTCAGTTTCCAAGCTTAGACATCCGTTAATCGTTTTAAACATCGAAATTACAGTGTATTTAATAACAACTTATATAATGACAGAACAACTTAATGATATTCTTGTCTTATAAAGCCGTGACATTTTTAGGAAACCCAAAGACTTCAAGGTTCATACCTATTTGATATGTAAATATGAAAAAGCAATATATACTAACATTTTATAGGGTGTATATATATGAAAATATTCTACCCTCCTTTTAATGACAATTTTTCCTCATTTACAAATACATGCTACATGTGCTTTTATTGACGCATTTTATTGTACTCTTTATAAATACATCAACCTTTGCGAATATCGATTCACACATTTTTTAAATATTGAATAGAAACTCTATTGAAACGATAGGTAGCCATCCTCTAAGTATCAAATCCTTCGGTACAGAAAGCCGCCAATAACTACCGCAGTGTATGGATCGTCTCATGACGTGTCCGAATAGTGCTCCTAATTTTGAGACCATCACGGTGTAGAAATGATCCTTCATTAATAACCTTCTCGAGAAGACCTTTGTCCATTGAGAGTGCGATCCATTTTTCAGGCGCGGTGTTAATCGGGCTAATTGGCGCGCAGGGCCGGAAGACACTATCAATCTCTAACCACCACCACCACCGCGGCAGTGGCGGCAGCGTCAGCGCTTTTGTTCCCGCCCTGCCAGCCCGCTCCAAGTATTTTAATGACGCCGGCCACTGCTGAAATATGAGCCTGCCGCCGCCTTATTTTAGTCCACTTCACTTCACCTCCGCCTTATTTATGTAATGATCTTAATAAATTTGGATTTGCGCCTCTTGTTCTACTCCCCTCTTAGTATAACTTGTGCATTGTGCGGCTGAGCCGATGTTCACGGAGCCGTCAAGTTCTTGTCTCTCCCCCGCTATGGTAATTGGTCTTGTTGGACACCGTTTCTGGAGATGATCTATTTGTGGTGTAGAGCAATAATGTCAGTTAAGCGAAATACGAAAATATATTTCTATTTAAATATTGCGCTTTATATTTTATCTTCTTCCACCTCAAATGAAATTGAATTTACATTTTACACTGGTGTCAAAATTTAATCAAAAAAAGAAATATATATTTTAAATAAAAAGGAATTTATCCTTGGATGGTATACCTTTTTACCTAAAACGCCAAATTAAAATGATGAAGTTTGGAGTTTCATAGTGTGTTTATTCTGTGGGTAATCAATCTAGTCGTATAAGCTATGCAACTCTCACAACGAACTTTTATGGTGTTTAGAAGGCTTGGGGGAGGTCTAGAGGCAATAAATTCCGTGTAGCCTAGAAGATAATATTTCGATAAGGGTTCTGGGAAGGGACGGTCGATATATAATGTGTCTCCTAAACATGTTTTATTGGCTTCAAGTCCGAATATATCTGGTTGACCAATCCGTCCTTCACTCTAGAGGAAATCATTGACTAGCACCTCCCTATGTGGATATTATCCATAAACTAGACTGGGGGCAAATGAAACCCCTGGAAGTTTTCACATAGAGCTCAAGAATCTCTTTCCTGTATTTGTGATCAGCCACTGTTTTTCTCTTAAACACATGGAGAGGTGAATGCCTGTTCGAAATCAAGCCCGCCCAAACCATCAGACCCGCTTCCTCAAGCTGGTCTTTTTCTATGATTGTTAGTAGAATATATAGATTCTCTCCAGATAAAGACTCGTCGATACCCAGTGCCAAAACTTAATTTGACTCGTCACTGAAGAGAAGATGAACCGATTGACCCTGGGTTCAGGACACCAATTCAAACGGCTATCCTGTGATAAGTATAAAGATCACTACCTTCGAAAACAGTATTTCTTAAAACTCTCATTTCAGAAGCAAGAGAGCTTATTGGAGAGTTGAGCAGATGTTATCCTCTTTTGGCACTCAGCAGTCAGAGGCATATAAGGTATTAGAACAAGAATGACGATACGATGGTGAAGATATTTTGAGGGTTCCTGTGTCTTCACAGTTTCGCTCCTCAAAACTGGGCGGTGGTTATATCTTCACCAGGGATGTCATTCCCGGGAATGATAAGGTAGCTTAGGCTAAATTGTTCTCAGTTTAAAGGCATTGCTTTAATTTAAGATATAATGTTAGACTAATTTGAAGAACCACACTAGGCTCTGTGCTCCAATCAACACATTGCCTCCTCCCGTATTGAGCCACTCACCGCCATCTACCGTACATTATCTTTGGGGATCTGCGAAGACAAGACGTTGAGTAATTTATCGGAGCAGGCGCGACCTGGACTCTGCGACAAAAAGAAGATTGATGGGTAATTAGTCAGCTGCGAGCGCGGCCTGGAAATAGCCTCCTCACACCTGTTATTGAGTCCGTCGGACTGGCACCTATGTCCGAGGCGCTGGAAAACTCTAGTGGATATCTCACTTCTCATGAATATATCCGTCTATGTAAGTCAACCATGCCGATTATCAGCAAGTGAATTTGACATTAATACTTTTGGAGATTTTATATCATCAATTTTTATTATTGCCTTACATCACACTTGAGAGTATCCAACAGAGTGATGAAAGTAAATAGTTGAACATATATCTAATATTTTTACTATCCAACAGAGATGGATAGCCAAAAGAGCTATTATTCTAAAACAGCTCATATATTTACATATTTTTCAATATCGTAAAACTAAGACAATAATATATATTTAGAAATAGCGAGTAGGAATATAAGAATAATGAACCAATAAATGTGACAAATGGATAGAAAAAGGTACTGATAGAACTAGAACACTTGAATTGCTTACTAAGAGCTTTTTTTAAATTGCTTATTGGTTAGTAATTTTAAATAGACACATATGTTACTTTTATAACTCTTCCTGGATATTAAATAAATACTCACCACAATACAGCCATGCTGGTGTTCTAATAGGAGCTGAGGTTCTACACATGGAGTCAAGCCAGTTGTCGCACACCATTTCCCGCCTTTACTCAAGGACACATTCACACCCACCCAAGCCAACTGGCTCACTATACCTCCACCTGCTCGCTCTACTTGTGCGCTACTTCCGTCTACTTGGATTCCCGAGCCTTTCTCCTTCCTCACCCATTCATATCTCCAACATTTCAACTTGATCAAATATAAACTATATCCAAATATATATATATATATATATATATATATATATATATCTATAACAAAAAGAGATATATAAAGGAGAATGCACTATAGACCACACAATATAATATTTTACTCCTAATAGATACTTCTTATACCTATAATCGTATATTTCACACTATTTAATTAAAATAAAGATGCGACAATTATTTTTACATATTGCTAGTTAAATTTCATTCAAAACCCTTCTAAATTTATATTAATAGTTTATATAATATAACTGTTTATAAAGTTGTGAAAATGGCTTACAATGTATTTGGGCTAAATGCTGGAAATTAGTATCTTGGAGCTAAACAGTTTAAATTCGCATTATGAACTTAATGACAAAAATATTGAAGAGTAAAATGAGAATGTACATTTGGTTCACAAATGGTCGGTGGAAGGCTGGTTAAACCGTTTGGTTTTGACCACTAGGACCCGGGTTCGATTCCCGCATTGGACACTTTTTTCTGTTAAAAAAAAATGCTCCAATGGCCCCCGATTCTTGCAAAAGTCCAACCCCACCAGCGAAGGCAAGTAACCAAACGGGGCTCTGGCATTTGTAAGTGCAAAGTCGAACTGCTTTTCCCATGTGTAGACATGTGGTGCGCTTACAGTAAAAAGCAGTCGCTAACTACCCACCATGATTATCATGGCCAGTACCACGTGTACTAGGGATAAGTAAAAAAAAAAAAAGAAGTATTTATAATCGTTGTATTTTATTTGATCAGTACGCACAAATTTATATAAACGAATAAGCCACAACTCCAGGTTTGGCAAATTCAGACAAAATACAAGCTGTGAACATTGGTTTCAGGCTATGATACTCATCAGTACAGGGGCGGCTTCGATTTTAAAACATCATACGAGAGAAGAGTCATGGAATATTACGAATCTATTGAAAATAAGATTTAGCTGTTGAATTGCTAGGGCAAAATTTAGGCCAGAAGACATTGTAGGACGGTATTCATGGGTACCTCTCTCTCTCAATAAACAACTTACTTAATATGCACTAATTTGATAAATTAAAGAAATGTATTCTAACACATTCATTAATAGGATAAGGTGTATTTATATTGCAAATATATTAATTATATCGTGTTAAAATATTTATCGGCTTCGCTCGGTCCTATCTAAATCCATAATTGTCCAACCATTATTGTTTAACCCAAAGGTTTAGTTAGGTTATTATTAGTAGTATGATGGTAGAGGAGAACTCATTAACATCTTATTTCCATTTTCGACCCCTGTTATATGCAAATTATACGAATATTGAGATATTTGGCCTATAAAGGCGACGACTCTATAATAGTGACCTCTTCCAGCTATAATTATTAATCACGGTAAAGTTTTATCTTGAAGCATGTACACACAAACGGACATATAATTTTTAATTCCACAGGTAATCCATATATAAATGCGTGCATGTGTTTATTTTCACTTTAGGTTTAACCATTCACAAAGTTTCATTTCCAATTTTAAAATATCACATATATACATTAGATTGGTTATAAAAATTGAATTGTCATTTCAAAGTGTGTATAAGTGAAAACTGTTATGTTCAACTAGACAGAACTCTGATGTTAAAATATTTTTAATAGCATACAGCTACACATTGTTTTAATATATATATCGGAGAAGGAACGGGCAATAAAATATACTATACATTGCAAAAGTGCAGTAGGACGGGATTCCATTTTAGAAAGGCGCCTTTACCTTTAATAAACGCATCAAAACAACGAATTTCTTCGATATTATCTGCTCAAATATACAAGGATCCGTATCATAGTATGAGCTACAACAACAGCAACGGTAAATTCGAACAAAGGTCAACTTACATACCATGGTCCCAACTATGGCCTTCTTTAGTACAATCATGGTTGGTATACAGGTTGAGGTTTTGTTATTAATATAATCCCTTCGGTAAAATATTAAATAAAAGACAATTCGCCGAGGGAAGAGTTCCTTTATATATATCGGCAATACAAGCTTTCGGGCTCAACAGCCCTTCGACAGGTATAACTACGTTACTCTTTTTTCGCCATGGCTGGTTAGTGGCTTATTATGTGCGTTAAACGCAGAAAATATCAAAGGAAATGCGGTGCTTTACTTATAATATAGATGCATTTTTGACCTTATTTTTTATTAAAGGTAGAGAGTTGCTTTTTTTGCGCACACATATTGATTGTAAATTTTCGGGAGGGACATTTATTTGTGCGGTATGAGCAGAGGAGATAGAAATGCATAGTTGTGGCCTATTTATGGACAGAAAGAAGTGCCGACTATGTTCCTCCCTCTAAATGGCTATATAACTATTATAGTTTAAAGCTATACAACCAGTTTAACCGCATAAGTTTATTTTTATTTATGAAAAATCATTTTTAATTTCAAAGAGAAATAATTTAATATTTCTAACTTTTGGATGACGTATGAAAAGGTTGAATGTATAAAGAGTGATGGTCTATATATGAATGGATGACGAATGGAGGGTGAAAAATATGAAGAGTAATGGCGAACGGAAAAATAAAAGTGTCCAGGAGCGGGAATCGAACCCACAACCTTCTGCTAACCGGGCAGGTGCCATGTCCACTAGGCTATCCTGGACGTATTTCTCCGTTCGTAACTAATATTTAAACTGACTAATAATACTTATAAATGACTGCGGCGTATAATTATAAAGCTATACAACCAGTATAGTTTAAGATCAGCCTTTTCACTTCACCAACACAAATATCTTCTTGAAAATTCCGGCTAATTTCACGACAGGGTGTCAGTAAATCGAAACTTCCCCTATAATGATGAGGGGTGGTGGGGTCAAAGTCAAATCCATTTTGGCTACTTATCCCAAATTTCCATAAGCTTGTGGTTTGACCAATTTATTGATCCGAATCTGAGCGGTTTTCGCCAAGATAATAAAAATACGTTGTTTGATACATTCTTAAACAGTAAAAATGTATTTTTCCAAACATAAACATATCTAAGATTGAAAACTCGCTTCAACCGCTTTCTTTTTATTTATTTTCTACGTTTTGGCGATCCACTGCCACCCTTGTCAAGGAAAAACAAACCGTGCTGTTTAATTCTTGCACCTTTATGAAGATACTAAGAAACCTGTATATCACGTGCTGCGTGTCAATATTTAAAAACAATTAAAATAAATAAGAGTTAAAACCCCAGCAAAAATGCAATAGATTTTGAGAAAAATAAAATTAATGTGAAGGTTTGTAAATTCCATTTTAGTATTTTTTTATTAAGATCAAAACATTCAAAAAATAAATTATTAACAAATCTTTGAAACGACGTTTTCAAACATTCGCCGTAATTCATACTTTTTCTATAGATATCTATCATTTATTTTGCTAGTTATTAACTCTTGTTTATATTTCATTGTTTTGGAATATCGACACGCAGCACGCTCTACAAGTTTATAAGTATCGTCATAAAGAGGCAAGAAATAACCAATATAGAATTGGTTTTCTTTGACAAAGAATGACAGTAGGTCAGCGAAACGTAGGAAATAAAGATAAATAAAGGTCGAAGCGAGTTTTTAATCTTAGATATAAATCCAATCTGTCATAACGTTTTTTCTATATACACATATCTATTGTTTCTAATGTTTCGGAAAGATGTAATTTCTGTTTTAAAAATCACCTCTACTTTTAGAAAATGTAAAAAAGACAAACAATACATCCATTCTAATATTCTCTGCACAGATCGCACAAATTACGATCACGACTCCAACTTATAGGAGTTAGGGAAACTCAACCTGTATTCCATGCCTTCGGGTATGACGCTCATCAGTACTGGGGAGAAGGCGACAGTTTCTTGACGTCCTACGGGAAGACTTGTAGAACAATGTGACAACTTCCTCAGGACGTCACGAAATCAGCCGACACTAACAATGTTTCATTCAGTAAATGTCATTTTTTTTTATGTTAGATATAGAAATAAATATATTTTTCGCACGTGTTTGAAAGGTAGAAAGGCCATTTTTCATATAAAAATGTGATTCTTTAAGGACACCCAATGCGAGAGCCTGGGAAAGGAGACCACAAGGCCTGATGCATCGCCGTCTTTCACCCAAGCAGAAGAATACGGGCAATCAAAACAAATTGTCCTTGAAAAAAGGCAGTTTGGTGGGCTTCATCCCGAACCTTCTCCTTTCCCACTTGAAATATTTGAATCGTTCAATTCCTTAAATATTCGAATCAATGAACATTTTAGGCCTAATAGGGTAACCCGAAACATGGCTGAATGAAAATATTCACATGGATATAAATTTCCGATATATAGAAAAAAATTCAATATACATTTCACCGCGTTGAAAAAATGTATATATTGAAAATATAATAAAGTTAATTACTCTCTATATAGGTGTGCTTTATATAGAAGTGGTAGTTCGGCCTCGGCGCTTTCACCAACCATATTTAACTTACTTAGGTGTAGAACACATCTTAATATTACTCACTGATCTTCATTCTTAACTCACATTTAATATTCCAGTCAAAGTTTTATGGTTAAACCACACTGATAGTTTAGAAATATTATATATTGACTGTGTGATTCAACGTTGCTGATGACAGAGGGAAATATGTCGCGAAGATAATTAAGTGATTTTACATGTTATCATTTACGGAATTTTTAATCAAAGGCCTTTCTAGTATTAAGAAAACCCAACGACGTAGGTGTTTCGCGCTGGGGTAGCTTCGTCAACTTGGTTCACTAAGGTGAAGGTTGTGCTGCTTTTGAATTTAACGGAGAATATTTTAAGCCAAATGTGGCGAACGCTCTTTCTAAAGCATCCTCGAAATGAATTTAAAATATATTACTAGAGTGCCTACACAATGAAAGAGCAACTTCTGCTAATATAACTGCATATTGCTTGGTAGCATGCTTGCATCCATCTTTTAAAATATTAACTAAACGTTGATTTTTTTTAATTCTGAAAGTTCCATGCATATATTTCAACCTCTTCTTTGGCATAAATATACAATCCTAGGGTGGGATATATTTATTTATATAATTTATTTATAATGTCTACTGTAATATATATATAACATCATAAAGTTTCCGGAGGATGAAATCCATGTACCATAAGAGGCACCTCTCCCTTTAATATTATGTATTTTGTTAATAACCCCAGTAAATATCTTCACGGTGGTGATAAGGAATGAGCTGCAACACCAGTTTTGCCAAATTCAGACAGAAATCCAACGTGTATACCATGGTTTCGGGTGATTGCCGCACATAGGCGGCTTCAATTGCTCAACATCCTGGGAGGAGTTATGAAATCGGTCGATTTTATCAAAAATATGTTTAATCTCTTATGGTACATGGATTTAATCCCTCTGAAACTTGTCTTTTTCTATCCCTAAACACCTTTTTGGTAAATACAACCGATTTAATACTCTTCTCGTAAGATGTTAAGAAATTGAAGAAGCCCCCCTGTACTGATGAGGGCCA